CCCCAAAACCCCAAAACCCCAAAACCCCAAAACCCCGCACTTCAATTATTAAGAAAAAATAAAAATAATAAAATAGTTATAAATTAAAATAAATGGAATAGACTTAGTAATTGGACAAGTAATTAAGCTAAGGTTTAGAGTAGCTGAATAAAAATTAAATAGTTTCGAAAAAGAAATCAACTAAAACTCCTTAAAGAGCTAAATCTGCAAGCCAGAGCAGGCCATCAAATAGTCTATAAGCAATGGGTGTTACTGAAATTGATATATAATCTATAGACTATCACATAAGAGTTCTAGATTCACATGAAAAGTACCCAAATCTCGTAGAATAATAGATTTTGCTAATTGATGCTAGATCTGAATAGCCAAAAGAAAACTAAGACAAAGAGTTAATTTAATCTCTCCAGAAGTAGGTAGTTACTACATTATAAGGATAAACCTATTTTAACAATTAAAATGAACAAATATCAAGTAATGTCTTGATATCTAGCACTTAAGCAATGAAAGATATCTAAAGTTAAATAATGGAAGATAACTTGAACTTCTCAACAATTAGATCAATGAGATCACAGGAACATTAGAATTCTTAAACTGAAAAAGAATCTTGGAAAAATCAATATGAGGAGGTTCAAAAACAATTTCAAGAGCTTAAATTTGATAAAAGAGTGCTTGAAACTAGATATACTAAACTTGAAGAGAAAAGTTAGAAATTAGAAACTTAGATAAAGGACTAAAATGATGTGTCTAAATTTGAATAATCAATAAAATAGAGGGATGATTATATAAAAGAACTCGAGATAATTTGCAAAGAATTAAGGGCAGAAAATACTGCATATGCAATTTAATTGTAGAAAGCGAAGGCAGACAATTTGAGTTACGAAGAATAAATTAATCACTACATTAATCTCAAAGCTGAATATGAGGACATGTCTTAGATGGTTTAGAAAATTCAGAAGAAAAATCAAGAAGAAAAAGATTTGCAGTTATAAAAGTATGAGCAGCTTTAAAAAGATTTAAGCAGTTCAAATGCAGAGGTTTCATAGCTTAAAGACATAATAGCTTCACTAGAAGCATAGAAAATTTCACTAAGATAGTAGAATTAGCAATACTAATAATAATATTAACAATAATAACAGTAGTAATAGTAATAAAATATTCCTTACAATAGATCTCAACCTATCATCAACCAACCATTTCCAATTATCTAAAATTCTCAAAGCAATACCCCTGAAATTGGAAAATAAAATCAGTCACAAAATCAAATTTAACTCTAACATATATAACAATAGATAGAGTAACAGCAATAAATTGAACTAAGACAAGAGTTAGAAAATTAAAGAATCAAAGTGAGAAATTTGGAATAGGAAAAGGAAAATCTTAAACTTCAAATGTCTTAAGATCAATAAAAATAAATAGAAAAGAAGAGAGATAAGTACGAACTTGATGTTAGATTGAAGACTGCTGAAAAAGAAGCTCAGAAAAGTAGAGAAGAGAGGATAAATCTTGAAAACCAGATAAGAGAAATGAAAAAGAGTTAAAATGAGTTGCTTTCTAAGATAAAAGAAAGCTAAGAATTCGTTGATGTTTGTACCACGTTTTTGCAAAAGAATGGGCTGCTAGCTTCAAGTTTTATATCTGATGATCCATTTTGATATTTCTCTTAATTTCATAAATAGAAAAGTAATTTCTATCTCTCATTTTAGAAAGATCACAGTTATGATTAATGAGATATTCAAACTATTATTAAAACCTATAAGTTATAATACTATTGGTATTAATGATAAGATTGAATGTTAAAACTAGATGTTTAATTGGAGAGTAGTATTAGTTAATTTTAAAATACAAAAATGAGCTTTAATAATCAAAACTCACTAATGGATCTGTTCGATGATTCAGCATCTTTAAAACCTTCAGATTTAGATCTCATTATGTCAAATACACCAATATTCCCTAAAAATTTCGGTGATCAAAGTAATAGTCAATCTATAGGAGATTTAGATGATTTATTATCAAGTCAAAAGAATTCTTAATTTAAAAAGAAAAATACCTTAAATTTGCGCAAATCAATCATTAATCAAGATCCTGTTTCTGTTTTTAACATACTTTCTCAAGAAGTGCTCTTAAGTCCAGAAAAGCAAAAAGAAGTAAGAGTTTCATATAATCCAATTAAGAGATAGACCAAGATACTTGATCCAATTTAAATTGATCAAGATTCATTAGAACTAGAAGATATTGAACATTTTATCTCAACGAATCAAGAGACTAATTAGAAAAACAATTCATAGAAATCAAGCATAAAAAAATCCAATTACAAAGACTGCATGCTGGAAAAATGTAAGAATTAAACTTAGACAAAACTCAAATACTCATAGCCTTCATAATTTTAATATGCTCAGTAAGATTCAATAAAAGACTCATTATTAGAAAGCGATCTTTTATTATTGATGCAAGACAGTTAATAAAACCTTAATACACATAAGCCTTAAATTAAAGGATAGGATGTTGAAATGGAATTTGATTAAGAAATTCTGGATAGAATTTAAGATGATGATGATTCAATTAACTATGATTAATTTAGTTTATCTAGCAAAAATGAAAATTAAAGTCAATTAGAAGAACCTGATCGAAATAAAATTGAGAGTTTGGAGAAATATGGCATAGATAAAAGACTGATAGATATTTACAAAAATGAATTCAACATTAACTAACTCTTTGATTGGCAAATTGATTGTTTTAGCTAGTGATCTGTCTTAAATGGAGGTAAAATAACTTGATTTTATTTAATTTAGAAAATATGATTTATTCTGCTCCAACCAGTGCTGGAAAAACTTTGGTTTCTGAGCTAGTACTGATCAGAAATTTGATAAATTTTCCTACTAAAAAAGCAGTCATAATAATGCCATTTGTATCCTTAATTTCAGAGAAGGAAGCAAAGTTAAGATTGCTTTTAAAACCTCTAGATCTCAAAATACAATCAATTCATTCTCATAGAAGTAATTTTAACTATTAATTCAAATAGAATGTTAGGATGTGTGATCAGAGAAGATACAAGTCTGGTTCTTTGTACCATTGAAAAGGCTAATTAACTCATAAATAGACTTATTGAACAAAATTCTTTAGACTAGATAAAAACACTGGTGATTGATGAGCTTCATATGATTGGTGATCCTTCTAGAGGATTCTTACTCGAATTAATGCTTTCGAAAATATAGTATATTAATGAGCACATTAGTGTTGATAATAAGATATAAATAATTGCTATGAGTGCTACTTTCCCTAATTTAAAAGATATTGCTGACTGGCTTAATGCAAGACTATACATTACTAATTTCAGACCAGTTGAAGTAAAAGAATATATAAAATTTGGTAATGATATATTGAGTCCTGATTGTACTTAAGTGATCAGAAAGATTACTTTAAATAATTAAACTAGTCAAGTGAGATTTGATAGATTAGGCTTATTTCAACTTATATCAGAAACTATCAATGATAAGGGTTCTGTTTTGGTATTTTGTCCATCTAAAGACAGATGTGAAGAATATTGTTAAATGATGATGAATCATGTTTAAACTCTGTTAGAATAGCTGGGCTAGAGATTGAATTTTGATTAAATAAAAGAGTATATACCAGAATAATACAGAGAAGAAGTTCATCCTTTGTTTATTAAACTTATGGAAAAAGGAGCTGCGTATCATCATAGTGGGCTTACAATGGAGGAGAGAGAGTGTGTTGAATTATTTTTCAAATAAGGTATTGTTAAAGTTATATTTTGCACATCTACATTGGCAGCTGGTGTTAATTTACCGGCTAAAAGAGTTATAATTACAAGTATGAAGCAAGGAATGTCTGATTTGACAAATATCTAGTACAAATAGATGATAGGTAGAGCTGGGAGATATGGTTATGATACTGAGGCTGATTCTATTTTAGTAGTTTAGAATGCAAATGAAAAGAAAAAGGCAATGGAATTATTAAACAGAAAACTTGAAAGGATTGATTCATGTCTTGATTAAGAAGGCAAAGGACTTTCAAGAATAATTCTTGAAGCAGTAGGGACTAAGATTGTGTAAAACTCAACAATGATGAAACAATTTCTGAAAAGTACTCTGCTATTTAACTAGTATGTAAGTATTTCCTAAGAGAACAATGAAAGTCCAGAAGAATCTTGGAATAAATTGTCATAACAAGGTAAAGATGCTTTAGATTTCTTGATATTTAATGAAATCATTCTACAAAACACTATGATGAAGAATTAAAGTATAAGCATAAGTTTTGAATCAACTCAGCTTGGACTTGCAATAATTAAAAGTAATTTGGCTCCGGAAGAGGGATTAATGGTATATCTGGATTTAGTATAGGCCTCTTAAAAAATGATTTTATGGAATGAGCTACATATACTATACTAAATGACACCTGTATCAGGAATAACTTTTAGAGTCTAGTGGGATCTCTATCACAGAATATTTAGAAACTTAACTCCGAATGAGCTATAGATATGCCAATAAATAGGAATTAAAGAAGACTTCATTGTAATGTTCGGCATGCCAGGGGGTTAAAGAAATTAAGGGTTTAGTCGAGATGTTATATTTAATTCTTAAAATCCAATAAAAGAAGATATTGGGCTAGCAAGCTCTATAACAGATTTTAAGGCTTTTGCAGAAGTAAATAAAGAACTGATTACCAAGATGAGGCATGTTAGATTTTACACGACCTTACTATTAAAAGATCTACTCAGTGATGAAAAATAGGAAGATGTTCAGTAATTTTATAAAATAACTCAAGGAGAACTTCAAGCTTTCTAATAGAAATGCGTAAGTCATTAAATACTAGATTAAGTAATTCATTTAGAGTGCATTCAGTTCTATGGTGGTTACCTTTTGCCATGAACTTAAATGGTGGAACATGTGGAATATTCTTAACCAATACATGGATAGAATTAACTTTGTAATTCAAGAGGAGTTAGAGGAATTACTTTAAGTAAAATAATTTTTTGAGAAATGTATATAGATTAAAAATGTGATTGATGTACCAAAAGCAAGAGCTATTTATGAAGCTGGATTTACAAGTACATATCATATTTCTAAAGCAAGACCTGCTGACATCATGAAGGCTCTCCAGAAAACATTAGTGATCTAGAGATAATATTCATCGTAAATTTCTTAATAGATTAAATCTGTAGTAATATTGAGGAAATGTTTAAAGTGGGAACTACAGAGCATTCTAGTGCTACAATTACCAAAGCTGAGGAAATTATTGAAGCTGCAAAGAGTATTTAAAGGAAGAAAAATCTTAAAAAAGCAAGAGAAATACTTAAGAAAAAATAGGAATGGCTTAAGCAACAAAAATAAGCAGAATAATTGAATGCTTCAAAACAATAATAATAATATGAAATGATTTGATTCAGATAAATTAAAACAAATTTTCTGTAACTACTTGTAAAACTATTCTTAAGTTTTTAATCTTTATTTCATAAATTTAATCTCAACAAATTATTTTATATTACGGGGTTTTGGGGTTTTGGGGTTTTGGGGTTTTGTGG